TCATAGCATTGAATAAATACTGATCAGAGATTGTGTCTTGAATTGAGTGTATTGATGTATAACCAATAAGCATAATCTTCCTTTACTTGACATTTTTTATAATGAGACAGTTTCAATCATTTATAGAGATATTATTTTTAATATATTTGCATTTTTATATGTATATACTGTGGGCACACCTGATTTCTGTAGGTGTCGGCGGGCCGCATAAAGCACTCCGGCGGGTCGCATGTGGCCCGCGGGCCGTAATTTGCCCATCCATTGTTTATAACAGCCTAGATAGGGTCATCCCAGTGAGTGTCATGCGTGTCCACTGTGTCCGCAGGTCTTCTAAAGAGGCTTTGATACGTTGACCTAAATTTGGAGCTCATCTTGTAGTAAAGTATAAAGTGGACGTTAGAGTTGACCGAGTGGAGCAGGAAACCGAATGACCAGCCAGTGTTGAACAGGTTGACCTCTTTCCCCACAACGCTAAACTCAGAAACGCTAATGGTCACGATGGACAGCACCACGGTGGGGACGAAGCAGACGATCAAAGAGGTGGCCACAAGCACAACCATGATCATCTTCTTCCGATCTCGTTTTGACATGGTAGCCGTCTGCTTCCCAGAGTTCACCGCGCGGTGCCTCCATTTCGAGGTTCTCCTTAGCTCTAAGACACTGGTGAATGTCACCACAGAGAAAAAGGATATGAGAGTGAAAGAGCCGTGGAAAAGAAAAGACAACCCGTCAGTTTGTGGCCGGTTGCTTCGGAAAACAAGGCCAAATACAGTTTTGTTTTTGGCCACATTAAACGTCCAGTCGTAGTAAGCCGACGAGTACTCTGGGACCAGAGACAGAATGTTGATGAGATAAATGATGATAATAATCGCCGTTGTCCTCTCCGGGATAATGACATGCTTGATTTTTAACGGGAGAGCGATAGATAGACATCTCTCGGCCATGATGAACACTGTGGTCCAGCTGGTGATGCGCAGCCGTGCGGCCAGCCGGAAGTTAGGTAGGCGACTTCTTTGAAAAGGATACCAGTGTCAATGTTGGCGAGGTATGGGTTGAGACACATGACGTACCACAACAAGGTCACGAGGCCCAAAAGGTCAGCCACGGAGAGAGAGAAGAAGGTGATGCTGGTCGAGGTGCCGAGAACTTGCTTCAGAAACACGCAAATATTGATGGCGTTCGCCACAATTCCTGTGACGCATAGGCACGAGCTCAAGATCACGTGATTAATCAACAGGAACATGATGACTACAAAATCACTGACCAGCGGTGTCCAGCATGGATTATAAGTGTCTTGACCAGAGGTCAAATTAGTCATGTTAAGAGCCATTGCAATTTTCCTATCACAATACGCTGTAACTTGTCGAAGAATTCTTTAAGAAGTTTTTAATGACAATAGTTTTACCAAGCGTAATTCAAACATCGGATGTAAATATAGCAAATAACATCATCATTTGCTTTTTTCAATCGCTACCACTCACCAATCTTTTGACATGGTTAGAAATTTGAATAGTTTATTTTAACAACTTTTAAATATTGTATCAAATTAAAAATTCGCACATTAGTTCGTGCTGCGCGACAGCACATTTGATTAAAATTTCAGAAAGATCACTTCGTTAGTTACTCACTTAATTACAAACTACAATTATCTATTCAAAAACACTACCAAGGGACTTAACAAAGTGACGCGACTATATCTATTTAAATATTTTGTTAAGACAACAAAGTTATGCTCAGCCTTGATGAACGCTGATATCCAGCTGGGGATGAACGCTGATGTCCAGATGGGGATGAACGCTGATGTCCAGTTGGGGATGAACACTGATGTCTCGTTGGGAATGAACACTGATGTCCAGCTGGTGATGTGCGACTCTGCTCTTCTCTAATATTTTTTCTACTATCCGTTTTTTGTAGTGGTTTTTTTCAAATTCAATACGTAACGAATTTCAGTGAGGAAATTATTCAGAATATCGTTGAAGGAATGTTTTAACTGTTCAAATTTTAAATTTTTAGTTTTCTATTCGTAATAGATCTTTTGAATTCTTAGTTCAGTTGTAATCATTTAGTTTCGAACATTTAGTTCAGCAGAGATGTTTAATGACTTCTGGTTACTCATCTTTTGTTTTGAATAGGGTATCGAATTTAACAGTATCTCATATATATCAGTGTTTAAGTACATCACTTTGAGGTCTTTATGCTCTAGAGTTAAAGCTCTGGGGAAGAGCTAAATGAGTTTTCCTTTAAAAAAAAACGTACTGTAATTATGAATGTAGACTTGTATTTCTTTACTTTCTATTTCGAGTTTGGGGGAGGCTAGTGACTAGGCGGAGTAATATCATCACATTAATCTATTGATTAATTAATTTATTTATAGATTTAAGTCCTTTTATGTATAAAAACCATGCCTATTATCATTAAAGTAATAATCCACAAAAGACGTTTTGAATACTAGAAATTGTGCAGACGAAAAAATTTAAACAACTTGTATTGTTAATTTAAATAAAAAAATACAACATTCGATCAGGTCGCATTTGTAATGGAGTTTGTGAACCTGATTGTGATTTGTTGAATATATCCTGATGTAACCAGGGTATGACCATTGGGTTATAAATAGATGTTAACAACGGATGGAAGTCTGTTGAAATGTGCAGGCTGTGAGACAGAAGGAATTCTTGTATTAAATCTGGTTTAGTTGAACTAGCTGCCTAGAGCTACAGGTAGGTTTAGTTGGACTAGCTGTCTAGAGCTACAGCTAGGTTTAGTTGGACTAGCTGCCTAGAGCTACAACCTTGTTCAGTTGGACTAGCTGTCTAGAGCTACAGGTAGTTTTAGTTGGACTAGCTGTCTAGAGCTACAGGTAGGTTTAGTTGGACTAGCTGTCTAGAGCTATAGGTAGGTTTAGTTGGACTAGCTGTCTAGAGCTACAGGTATGTTTAGTTGGACTAGCTGTCTAGACCTGCAGGTAGGTTTAGTTGGACTAGCTGTCTAGACCTACTGGTAGGTTTAGTTGGACTAGCTGTCTAGACCTACTGGTAGGTTTAGTTGGACTAGCTGTCTAGAGCTACAGGTAGGTTTAGTTGGAATAGCTGTCTAGAGCTACAGGTTGGTTTAGTTGGACTAGCTGTCTAGAGCTACAGGTAGGTTTAGTTCTATTAGCTGTCTAGAGCTACAGGTAGGTTTAGTTGGACTAGCTGTCTAGAGCTACAGGTATGTTTAGTTGGACAAGCTGTCTAGAGCTACAGGTATGTTTAGTTGGACAAGCTGTCTAGAGCTACAGGTATGTTTAGTTGGACTAGCTGTCTAGAGCTACAGGTATGTTTAGTTGGACAAGCTGTCTAGAGCTACAGGTAGGTTAAGTTGGACAAGCTGTCTAGAGTTACAGGTAGGTTTAGTTGGACTAGCTGTCTAGAGCTACAGGTATGTTTAGTTGGACAAACTGTATAGAGCTACAGGTATGTTTAGTTGGACTAGCTGTCTAGAGCTACAGGTATGTTTAGTTGGACAAGCTGTCTATAGCTACAGGTATGTTTAGTTGGACAAGCTGTCTAGAGCTACAGGTATGTTTAGTTGGACTAGCTGTCTAGAGCTACAGGTATGTTTAGATGGACAAGCTGTCTAGAGTTACAGGTAGGTTTAGTTGGACTAACTGTCTAGAGGTACAGGTATGTTTAGTTGGACAAGCTGTATAGAGCTACGACCTGGTTCAGTTGGACTAGCTGTCTAGAGGTACAGGTATGTTTAGTTGGACAAGCTGTATAGATCTGCAACCTGGTTTAGATGAGCTAAGTGTTTAGAGCTACAACCTGATTTCGCTGGACAAGTTGTCTAAAGCTACAAGCAGGCTTGGATGGACTAGCTGTTTAGAGCTACAAGCAGGCTTAGATGGACTAGCTGTCTAGATGTAATACATATATGTTCGGTAACATGAAAACGTTTTGAAATGTAAAACAAACAAAAAAAAGCTTTAAAATATTTGAATATTTCTGGTTGAAATTATTCCCAATTAGAAATTTGGTCACCAGGACATCAACACATATAATCAATACAAAAAAATGTATTTACAATTTCTTGGTAATGCTCATTGTTTGACCTTGACCGTGTTGTAAAGTCTAGACGGGGTCAGGGGAGGGTCCGTTAACATGTTTTGACTTGCGTTTTAGAGTACAACTAGTTGCCTACTGTGTAGGCAAGAAACGAATTGATCATTGGTGATTCATTTCAGAGCGAGTGGGTGATTCAAATCTTTTGAGGCTAACTGCGTGATTTAATTTTTTAAGTGTGAGTCAAATCTTTTTTTTTTATTGTAATGGATTATTTAAATCTTTTTTAGTGTGACTGGGTGATTCAAATCTTTTTAGGGTGACAGGGTGATTGAACTATGACCATTTCGTGCATTGGCCGTTCAATGTGAAGCAAAAATGGCCAGTTCGCGAGATGGCCGGTTTCGGGTTTCGACCCTAACATATATTTTTAAGTTTTTTGTCTTCCATAATCTCTGTGTTTCTCTAGATACCCTAATGAGATTACGTAATTGATTGTAAAAAAAAAAAGGGGGGGGGGTAGATATGATTTATAAAATAAATAAAGCAAAGGAAAACAAAATACACCTTTTTTTAAAATTTTATTTGTAATACAAAGGAAAACAAAAGCATAGAGCTGTTTATATAGATTTCTAATTCGTAAAATAATCGTTTTTTTAAATATTTGTCATTAGTTATGCAGTTAGTTATTGGTGAACATAATTTAAACTAATATCGATTTCTCTACAAATCATAACAAGAAAAGCATAAAAAAATTTTTTTTAAAAAAGCTTATATTAAGTGTAATTATTTCAATTAGTTTGAATGAGCCATGTAAATACGTTTGCATTAGTTCGACACCAACAACACTAAATCTGATGTGATGAGAAATATTTTAACCGATTTTTTTGTTTAGCGCTATTTCATGTTTATAGCTTTCTCACTACGATATGATCCATCTGGACCATTTGGAAACATGGGGGAGGGTGGTGTCTGGGGGAAATTTTTTTAAGGGGGGGGGACAACTAGAATTCGAACTCATGACTCAAACCGACATTGTATCCACTCTGCCAGTGAGGTGTGTGTGAGAACAGAAATTGTATAGCCATGTGTTATTTGTTACAAACTTACTTTACAGCCAAGACCTATAAGGAGGACTAATTCAACCAGCTCAGTGAAGTACAATTTCTTTCCCTTGTTTGAGATACCAAACAAAATATTTACTGACCAATAGTTAATTAACTAATTGGTTGATTTTTTTAAAATTGGTTTTTGTGTTGTCAGGGAAAAGAAAGAATTTAGCAAAATTTCAGCGTGATCTGATATATATATATTGAAGTTATTCCGTGTACGATTTTTTACCAGACAGACACAGAGTGAGTTGATATATGAGAAACTTAATGTGCATTCAGATTATATCACATGCACATGGTATACAGGTATGTGTGCTGTAGTGGTACCACAGATAGTAAAACTAAAACAATCATAGGTTTTAAATATTTTTAAAAAATGTATCTTGAAACGAGTGTTTAATAAGATGAATAAAAACAAGTTACATATAGACAAATACAGACATCTAAGATTAAATGTATTGATGTTACAGAGATTAAGAAAAAGCAGCTGCCAAAAGTCTTAAGGCCTTATTTCCAAGGGGCCCGTGTATCCCAAGGGCCTGGAGTATCGTCAGGGGCCCGTGTATCCCAAGGGCCTGGAGTATCGTCAGGGCCCCGAGTATCGTCAGGGCCTGGAGTATCATAAGGACCGCGAGTACCCCAAGGGCCTGGATAATGCCAACCGTTGTATGCTCCATCACTAGACCAAGCATGATGAGTAGAGTTAACTAAAAAGATGGTCAGAAAGATAATCAAGGCAGCCAGTGTTACAACACCAATGGTCAGTCCAGCAATGTTCCAGTTTCGAGACTTGCGAGCCAGGTCTTGGGCTTTCTGTGTGTTGCCTAGCAACAAATGGGCCTTGGACTGTAAACAAACAAAATTTATGTCATTGGATATCTTTGCGTTAAACAACAAAGCACAAAACAAATATAAACGTGTATCATTGACCTATGTTGACATTCTTACAAGTAAATTTAAGTCATTGTGTCTGTCTGAGTCAGGCAACCCGTTCAATGCTCTAATGGCACTAGGAAAAAGGGATCACTTCTAAGACCTTATATGGGAGTATGAACGACTTTTTAAATACTAACTTTGGGTCTAATATTTTCCAGGTAAAATTTAAAAACAAAATTATATTTAATGGACTCCTCTAGTTTTCCACAAATAATTCATTTGCAAAAGCACCTTGGTTTGTTCAAATATGACATTAGTTGGGGAAAAGTAAAGACGGTTGTTCGTTGTGCTGGCCACATGGCACCCTCGTTAACCGTAGGCCACAGACACAGATGACCTTTACATCATCTGCCCTATAGTCCACAAGGTCTGAAAGAGGAACTTTACTACTTTTCTTTTTACAGTGGTGACCCATCTTCTTCACACTGCGGTCCAATTTAATTTCAAACCAATTCGCTAAAAAGATACAAAAAAGAAATCAACGAAATCGTAAACCAGTCAATTTAGTAATTTAACAAATCTAATGATGATTGAGACTTCTTTGAACCGGTTGTCGTTATTTGTCGCCAGGTTGCGTTGCCAGACTGCTGGTACAGGACTAAACTTTTGTATGCGTAATATATCTTAACTAAAACAACTTCCAATAACTTGAATAACTTCCATTTGTGAACAAACTAAATAACACTTTATTTAAAATATCAACAAAATTTAATAAACATGACATGAAACAAATGTACCTGACTTAATTAATAATATTCTGTAACAAAATCTAACTCACTACAATAACACAACGTTTCAGTCTCACGTTCTGGAGTCCTCTCCCCTAAGACCAAATGACGACAATGCCACCTATTTTGCATCATTCGCAGCCAATTGTTAGGGTCTTCCACCGTTACCATGGAAACACCACACACACACTCCATAAACATGGGTGCTCACATGCATAAATATAACATGATTACCATGTCTGTATACCAGCTCATATACAACTAGAAGGAAATGAGAAGGCTGACACACTCGCCAAGAGTGCGAGAACTAACTCACAAATAAACTCTGCACTCTATCCAGAAGAATCGGAGAAATTAATTGTAAATAAAATAAAAGAGAAATGGACGAGCTCTCATCCAAATCACAAGAAAGATGACGCTTACTATAAGCTATCCCGACAAGACCAACGTCTAATGTTTCGACTCAGGACCGGACACAACAGAATGCGACAACACATGTACCAGAAGCTCAAAATTGGAACCAGTGAAATCTGCCCATGTGGAGTATCACCAGAGAATGCCGACCACGTCCTCCTAAACTGCTCTCTTTACCAAGGGGCCCGTATAAGACATTGGCCCCAAATCACTCCAATAGAAAGAAAACTATATGGAGAGCTCCCTGATCTGGAAACCACTGCGCAGTTCATCTCATGTATTGGTCTAGTCATCTGAACACTCCAACATAATCAATGAGAACGAAGAAGAAGAAGAAAATGTCTGTAGTTAGAGTAAGACAAAGGGTTTAAAGACTAGTGTGGGATCATCACAAATACTCACATCTCTTGCATCGATCAAGGCGCAGATCCCCATGGGTGGGCAACAACACAAAGTCACAAATATACTAAACACAGTGTAGTCTGTAGCGTGTCCAGTGTTATACACAGGCTGAAAAAAAAAACCAAATACAATTTAAAAAAAAAATACAGATCAACCTAGTGACTCTTAAAAAAAAAAGCTTATGTTTGTGGAATAACGCCACATTTACAACTAAATTTCTCAATTATGTAGTAGTTATTTTCCGTTTTTTTATATTAAACTCAAAAATTATTTCCAGAAATTAGTTAATTAATTGGTAAATTTTTATTGATTTTATTTGGTTTGGTACAATAAATAATTTTCCAAAGTTTCAACTTCATCCGAGAATGGCAAGTGGGAGAACTAACGTGTACAACATTCCACCCAGACAGACAGACAGACAGTGTGAGTTGTTTAAGCTTTGTAGAAATAGTTGATAATAAGACAATAGCCAGATTTTATAGAACTGTGTGAGTATAAACCATTTTTAAAAAATTGTTTTACTGTGGTTGATGTGCCAGGCTGGACAACGACAACACTGTTAGCAGAAGATTGTTGAGGGTGTCCAGCAGGAAGTGATTGATAGTAGCCAGGAGGGTTTAGCCAGGAGGAGCCAACAGAAGTTTGGTTTGGATAGGTAACAGTGGTTTGCTTCGGGTACCCTGTCGATGTTGGCTGCGGGTACCCTGCATTCAGCAAGGGCTCGTCATTGACAGTTGGTACAGGGCCCGAAGAGTTTTCAGTACTCCATATGGTCCGCCTCTGATCTTCTGGTGGAACCAACATTTCGTGGTCCTCATTGCGGTGAGGTCCGAGTACCTGTAGTGTAGAACAAAATCATAAGATAAGTGTACTGATAGTCAATGATTATATTTTAAATTTTACTTTTATACTATGACGAATTAGTACAAGTGCTCCTCCTTCTTCCCTAGTGTCATTAGAGCAGAGATTCCCAAACTTTTAACCTATGTGTTTTACCTTTTACCTATCCATTAGTTTATTGGACCGTTGGGGCACCATGCAAGACTCGTCGACCGACTTTCTCCATTCCTCCCTGTCTTTTGCCTTAGTTAGAACCTCTTTCAATGGCAGTTTATTTCAATTCTTTTATGTTGTCCTCCCATCGCTTTCTCTGTCTGCCTCTTCTTTTTCCTGGTACTGTTCCCTGAAGGAAGGTCTTTGCGAGTTTCGAACATCTTGTAATATGGCCATAGGTTTTAAGCTCCCATTTTTTTTACGTTAGTTAGCAGGTCATCGTGGGGTCTATGTGTAACCCCATTTTACAATTTTTGTAACGCCGAGTCCCCCCCCACCACACTTTTTTTTCTCTATGCCAGTGGTTCCCAAACTTTTTTGACTCGTAGACCCCTTGGAAGTCTTCATAGACCCCTGGGGGTCTATATAGACCACTTTGGGAATCACTGCTCTATGTACTTGCTTCTATGTGATGAGAAGACATGGGCATAGAAATTTGGTTCCCTGGTTGTTAATTTTAATCTGAAATGCTGTTCCTCGTCCTAATGTCGGTTCCTTTTATTTTTCTACTTAATGACTACACATCTTTGTGATTATTTATTTTCAAGATGTATAATAACATCAATTATGAGTTGGAATGAATATAAAATCAAATAAAATTAAAGAATGTGAATTAAAACTTATTACTAACTTATTTTAATTTAATAACAGAATATAATAAATCAGCATAGTTAATGAAGTAGTTGTTGTGACACGGTTACTGTGTGGTCAACCGTGACACACGGTCAAGTGTTGGGTATCGAGAGTTAGAGGACTTGGGGGAAGTGACGAGTGTGTAAACAAGAGAGAGAGAGAGAAGTCAGCGAGTGAAGTAGGAGGTCTGTATATAACGTTGCCGTGTATATATGTTTTGTTAAAATGTTCGACAATTAAAAGACACTTTAAACGTAAAAGGACTTGTTTCTTCACAACTTGCGACCCCGACGAGACACGACGAGGCACAAGTAAGTGGAAATGTCGATGTACAAAATATATAGAGATGCGGGCAAGGAAAATGGCCTGCAAGGCGAAGAACTTGAAAAGTTCATTACACTAAAAATAACACAGGATGATGAAAGGAGATTTAATAAGGAAGAAGCCAAAAAGAAAGAAGAAGATAGTAGAAGGAAGGAAATCTTACAACTAGAACTAAAACTTAAAGAAAAGAAAGACAAAGAACAGCAAAATGAAAAGGAGGAACACTTTGACAAATACAAACAATTAGACAGAATGTCTCCATTTGACGAGAGCCAGAATGAGTGCATTGACTCATATCTACTGAGATTTGAGGATACAGCAACATCATGCAACCTCCCACAGACAGAATGGGCAAGAAGCCTCATGGGGCGCTTAAAAGGTAGAGCCATCAACATCTGTCTTCAAATGAGAGATGAAGAAAGAAAAGAGTACTTGGCCGTGAAGGAGGCGTTGCTGAGACAGTTTGGCTCCACAAGTTACGAATACAGAAGGAGATTGAAAGAGTCGACACCTCTGGCGAACGACGATCCACAAATATTCGTCACCAACATGTCGATATACTTCGATCGATGGGTAGACCAGTCAAAAGTGCAGCACAAATATGAAACCCTCAGAGAACACATCATAATGGACGCTGTGATGGAAGCTTACAATAATAATGTGAAAACAAACGTCACGGAGCGAGAGCCAAAGACCATCAGCAGCCTGATAGCACAACTAAGGCAGTATAAGGCCGCACACCCAGGGAAGTGTTAACTAGAGAGAACCCAACTGCGGCATCAGCTTTTATGGTGAACAACGCTGCAAGAATGCGGACTCCAAGCCCTTTATATAGAAGAGAGAACGCTGACAAGAGCCCAACATATAGATCTCGAAGAGAGAAAGATGAAGGAATGAGTCCAACATATAGATCTCGAAGAGAGAAAGATGAAGGAATGAGTCCAACATATAGATCTCGAAGAGAGAAAGATGAAGGAATGAGTCCAACATATACTTACAAGAATAGAGAATATCAACGTAATCAGCAAAGAGTTCGTTTCCAATGTCAAATTTGTGGTAGAACAAACCACACAGTAACCGTGTCACAACAGTAGTCTTCCCGTATCCACAGGGGTACGCGTTGCCCACTTTTGGAAACACTGCATCATTGATTAACATGTATGTTAAGATTGAGTTATGAAATGCGTAGGACGTAATTATCTTCCCTTTGTAAGTAATGTCAGTATCTAATAAGATTAAGATAAGATAAATAAAAACGTCTCCATATTGACGTTGCAAGGAGAGGGATATTTATACCTATAAATTTAGGGAGAAGTTATAAATCAATTTTCAAACTTTTTAACCGAACCAAGATGAAAGTTGTCCTCACTAACCTGACTCATAGTTGTCTTCCTTGACCTATAATCCTGAAAGTTACGTCAAGTCAATGGCAGGCTACGAGAATCAATTCAAAGGAGTTAAAACTAACTTCAAACAAATGCAATGAAGTCAGGAAAAAAAAACATGTATTTTCAAAATATCATCACAAGTTTCAAACTGTGATCAAAAATGAATCGCTTCCTGGCTTGGCCCATAAAATATGTAAAACAAGTTTAAGACTAATAAAAATCCAGTCAATAAACTTTTTAAAAAAGGGACTCGAGTGTGCAATTTGTGATTATGATCCTGTCTGCATTTGATCGTGTATGTATTCAACTGTGCTCTGTTGGTCGTCTATCGTTACTGTGTTATTGTGTTATCGCTTTGTAAAAAAAAAGGTGACGTATTTATTGAAGTAAAACCTTATCCTACAAGGTCTAGTCTGTTGATTACAAGATGGCATGGTATGGTATGGTATGGTATGGTATATGGTATGGTATGGTATGGTATGGTATGTGGTCTGGTATGGTATGGTATGGTACGGTATGGTATGGTATGGTATGGTACGGTACGGTATGGTATGGTATGGTACGGCATGGTATGGTATGGTACGGTACTGTACGGTATGGTATGTGGTATGGTATGGTATGGTATGTGGTATGGTATGGTACTGTACGGTATGGTATGGTACTGTACGGTATGGTATGGTACTGTACGGTATGGTATGTGGTATGGTATGTGGTATGGTATGTGGTATGGTATGGTATGGTACGGTAAGGTATGTGGTATGGTATGGTATGGTACTGTACGGTATGGTATGGTACGGTACTGTATGGTATGGTATGGTACTGTACGGTATGGTATGGTATTGTATGGTATGTTACGGTACTGTATGGTATGGTATGTTATGGTACGGTATGGTATGGTACGGTACTGTACGGTATGGTATGTAAATACTTCAATGACACAAAGACATCAACTAAATAAAATATTTTTTTTAAAGCAGCCTTATATCACTCAAACATAGGTTCCATTCTCTCTTGAAGAACTTTGTCATGAAAGATGCCTTCAAGATCATTAGCACCTATTAAAACCAAGAATGAAAGATGCCTGGAAGATCATTAGCACCAATTAAAACCAAGGATGAAAGATGCCTTGAAGATCATTTGCACCTATTAAAACCAAGGATGAAAGATGCCTTGAAGATCATTTGCACCTATTAAAACCAAGGATGAAAGATGCCTTGAAGATCATTTGCACCTATTAAAACCAAGGATGAAAGATGCCTTGAAGATCTTTTGCACCTATTAAAACCAAGGATGAAAGATGCCTTGAAGATCATTTGCACCTATTAAAACCAAGGATGAAAGATGCCTTGAAGATCATTTGCACCTATTAAAACCAAGGATGAAAGATGCCTTGAAGATCATTTGCACCAATTAAAACCTAGGATGAAAGATGCCTTGAAGATCATTTGCACCAATTAAAACCTAGGATGAAAGATGCCTTGAAGATCATTTGCACCTATTAAAACCTAGGATGAAAGATGCCTTGAAGATCATTTGCACCTATTAAAACCAAGGATGAAAGATGCCTTGAAGATCATTTGCACCTATTAAAACCTAGGATGAAAGATGCCTTGAAGATCATTTGCACCTATTAAAACCTAGGATGAAAGATGCCTTGAAGATCATTTGCACCTATTAAAACCTAGGATGAAAGATGCCTTGAAGATCATTTGCACCTATTAAAACCTAGGATGAAAGATGCCTTGAAGATCATTTGCACCTATTAAAACCTAGGATGAAAGATGCCTTGAAGATCATTTGCACCTATTAAAACCTAGGATGAAAGATGCCTTGAAGATCATTTGCACCAATTAAAACCTAGGATGAAAGATGCCTTGAAGATCATTTGCACCTATTAAAACCTAGGATGAAAGATGCCTTGAAGATCATTTGCACCTATTAAAACCTAGGATGAAAGATGCCTTGAAGATCATTTGCACCTATTAAAACCTAGGATGAAAGATGCCTTGAAGATCATTTGCACCTATTAAAACCAAGGATGAAAAATGCCTTGAAGATCATTTGCACCTATTAAAACCTAGGATTAAAGATGCCTTGAATATCATTTGCACCAATTAAAACCTAGGATGAAAGATGCCTTGAAGATCATTTGCACCTATTAAAACCTAGGATGAAAGATGCCTTGAAGATCATTTGCACCTATTAAAACCTAGGATGAAAGATGCCTTGAAGATCATTTGCACCTATTAAAACCTAGGATGAAAGATGCCTTGAAGATCATTTGCACCTATTAAAACCTAGGATGAAAGATGCCTTGAAGATCATTTGCACCAATTAAAACCTAGGATGAAAGATGCCTTGAAGATCATTTGCACCTATTTAAACCTAGGATGAAAGATGCCTTGAAGATCATTTGCACCTATTAAAACCTAGGATGAAAGATGCCTTGAAGATCATTTGCACCTATTAAAACCTAGGATGAAAGATGCCTTGAAGATCATTTGCACCTATTAAAACCAAGGATGAAAGATGCCTTGAAGATCATTTGCACCTATTAAAACCTAGGATGAAAGATGCCTTGAAGATCATTTGCACCTATTTAAACCTAGGATGAAAGATGCCTTGAAGATCATTTGCACCTATTAAAACCTAGGATGAAAGATGCCTTGAAGATCATTTGCACCTATTAAAACCTAGGATGAAAGATGCCTTGAAGATCATTTGCACCTATTAAAACCTAGGATGAAAGATGCCTTGAAGATCATTTGCACCTATTAAAACCAAGGATGAAAGATGCCTTGAAGATCATTTGCACCAATTAAAACCTAGGATGAAAGATGCCTTGAAGATCATTTGCACCTATTAAAACCTAGGATGAAAGATGCCTTGAAGATCATTTGCACCTATTAAAACCTAGGATGAAAGATGCCTTGAAGATCATTTGCACCAATTAAAACCTAGGATGAAAGATGCCTTGAAGATCATTTGCACCTATTAAAACCTAGGATGAAAGATGCCTTGAAGATCATTTGCACCTATTAAAACCTAGGATGAAAGATGCCTTGAAGATCATTTGCACCTATTAAAACCTAGGATGAAAGATGCCTTGAAGATCATTTGCACCAATTAAAACCTAGGATGAAAGATGCCTTGAAGATCATTTGCACCTATTAAAACCTAGGATGAAAGATGCCTTGAAGATCATTTGCACCTATTAAAACCTAGGATGAAAGATGCCTTGAAGATCATTTGCACCTATTAAAACCTAGGATGAAAGATGCCTTGAAGATCATTTGCACCAATTAAAACCTAGGATGAAAGATGCCTTGAAGATCATTTGCACCTATTAAAACCTAGGATGAAAGATGCCTTGAAGATCATTTGCACCTATTAAAACCTAGGATGAAAGATGCCTTGAAGATCATTTGCACCTATTAAAACCTAGGATGAAAGATGCCTTGAAGATCATTTGCACCTATTAAAACCTAGGATGAAAGATGCCTTGAAGATCATTTGCACCTATTAAAACCTAGGATGAAAGATGCCTTGAAGATCATTTGCACCTATTAAAACCTAGGATGAAAGATGCCTTGAAGATCATTTGCACCTATTAAAACCTAGGATGAAAGATGCCTTGAAGATCATTTGCACCTATTAAAACCTAGGATGAAAGATGCCTTGAAGATCATTTGCACCTATTAAAACCTAGGATGAAAGATGCCTTGAAGATCATTTGCACCTATTAAAACCTAGGATGAAAGATGCCTTGAAGATCATTTGCACCTATTAAAACCAAGGATGAAAGATGCCTTGAAGATCATTTGCACCTATTAAAACCTAGGATGAAAGATGCCTTGAAGATCATTTGCACCTATTAAAACCAAGGATGAAAGATGCCTTGAAGATCATTTGCACCTATTAAAACCTAGGATGAAAGATGCCTTGAAGATCATTTGCACCTATTAAAACCAAGGATGAAAGATGCCTTGAAGATCATTTGCACCTATTAAAACCTAACATGAAAGATGCCTTGAAGATCATTTGCACCTATTAAAACCTAGGTTCAGCGCTGGACGAAGTGGGTCGTCTCTTCCTCCCTAAGACTAGAACAGATTTAAAACTTCTTTATTCCACTTTCAGTCTTGTTGTATCAAGACGCCGTCACTGAGAAGTACAGAGTAATCTCCTAAAGCGCTGGTCGTGTGAGTGTGCGTGCGCGCGTGTGTACGTTTCGTGTGTGAAAGTTGTTTGTGTTTGCGGCTATTTGTTATTGTTCTAAAGCTACACGTGTTTGTAAAATGTTTGTAAAATGTTTGTAAAATGTTTTTCATGTGCTAATGTTCTTGCAGAGTTGAAGATAATCTACTTCCTAGTCCAAACCTCCCACAGGACGACGGGGGATGGCAGAGGTCAGGGAATGAACCCAGGACCATCGAGACAACCGAACGACAGTCCAGCGCGCATACCGTACGACCAGGCAGTCATTCTATATAATGTTATACCTGCATGAGCCTTGAGACGTCTCCGCTATAATTAATAGGGTGCCTACAAGTCAGCTGAACCTCTGGGACAGGTTACAAATAGAACGCTATCAGATTGATCAGTATCTCCAGAACTTGTTAATCTGTGGCATCAGTTCTGATTCTAAAGCCTGAACACTCACAGCAGATCTACGAGTTGCTAAGTTACCTGAATATCTTGAAGTTTCAGTCTATGGACTGTTTCCAAGGTAACGAAGAGGAAAGGGGAGCAAATGTTTTTGGTGCTGTAGTTCCTAACGTGTCTGATGAAATCACGAGATGGTCTTGCATAATTCATGTTAATATAAGAATATAAGCCACGGGTGTTTTAGTAGACGGATGTTTTACCGACAGACGTCAGACAGAGAGGACGAGCGTTTGTAGTGAGTTAAATCTTGTACATTGATCAATAAATGTTGCATTCAAATTTTGGTTTCAAAGGAAGTTTGTTCATGCATATTTTACTAAGAACTCAATACGCCTACCTCGGTTAAGTTGTACTAGCTGTTTAATGGTACTAGCTGTTTAATTTTACTAGATTGTTAGTTGTACTAACTGTTTAATTGTGCTAGATGTTTAGTTGTACCAGCTGTTTAGTTGTACTAGCTGTTTAGTTGTACTAGCTGTTTAGTTGTACTAGCTGTTTAATTGTACTAGATGTTTAATTATACTAGATGTTTAATTGCACTAGATGTTTAATTGTACTAGATGTTTAGTTGTACTAGATGTTTAATTGTACTAGATGTTTAATTGCACTAGATGTTTAATTGTACTAGATGTTTAGTTGTACTAGATGTTTAATTGTACTAGCTGTTTAATTGTACTAGATGTTTAATTGTACTAGATGTTT